AGATCATTGCAATAGAGAAAACTTTTCGTGGAACATGTTGAAAGAAAAGAACCAAAAAGAAAAACAATAATGGAACAAACTGGAACATAAAAATTTTTGAAAACGACTCAATTCCTTGGTCTCTGTTCGTACACGACCGACCACAGTGGAGAAATAGCAAGTACTACACACATCACAATGCAAAAATTGTTAACAATATATCTATATATAAAGATATACATATATGTATGTATGTACGCGCGCGCATACGTACATCCGGTGCAAAATAGCGAAATAAATAAAGAGAAACCGTTGAAACCGATAAAAAAAATAAAGAAATAGAAACGCGAACGCGTACGCGATGTGCTTCCTCGTTCGTGGCAATGTCGCCCGATCAAACTTCCATTTCCGACGAACGCCCCCCGCCCCTGCCCCAGTCGTTATACTTCGAGGATACATCCGGTTTTAATTTCGATTCACCATACACCCCCTTCCCCCACGAGATACCATCAAATGCAAAATAAAACGTGATTCGAAACCAAAATGAAAGGGCGCATTGTCGCGTTCCAGGACGAGCAGAGGAGGAGAGGCGACATACGGAGGCAAAAGAGAACAAAAATTCTTTCAAGCATAAAATAGCAAAAAAATATGTTATATAAGAAGCTCAGGCAGAGGAATAGAATGAGAATAAGAACGGAAGAAAGAGAGAGAGAGAGAGAGAAGGAAAGAGAGCGAGACGGAAAGGGAGAGATAGAGGGAGGAAGAGGCAGACGAGAGAGGGAAAATTCGAAGGGAAAAAATTGTTCAAAACGTGTAGGACGAACGCGACGAGAAATCGCGTAAAACGAGACAGTATACTTTCTTCCCCCGATCGCCGTTTCAAAATTTCTGGTTTCACAACCTCGCGATCGTGTAGGCGACTGTTCGTCGATTTTCGACGCTCTCGACACCGTGAACCAAAACACAAAAAATAATATAGCAATGTCCCTCGGTCGACGAATATTTCGGAACGTAATTCGTAACAGAATAGAATCCTACACAGAAAATTCAACTTACCCGGTTGCGGCACGTTGGATAATTGGCAGATTATAATCCCGGGAATATTTCGGCAGTGGAAAACTCGTGCAAAATTGATCAAAGTATCGAAGCCGTTGACCGGAGGGGCCCACAATGTCCTAGAGCCTTCAGTTTCCACCGTAGCAGATCCATTTTCCTCAAAGAGTGTCCCCCCGTTTTACTGCTACCCCCCGTCCCAACGCCCCGAGATCCCGCCCAGAACCCGAACCAGAACCTTTTCTTCATTTTCCGACAATCCCCACCCCCCGTGCACAGCTCACAGGTATCTTCCGCAATGGCAGCACGGCTTCCCAACCTTTCCAAATCCAGGAGAAAGCCATGATAACACCGCCATTTTTACCGTAAACAACCACCGAGAGCTCCCACAATCTCCTCCCCCCGCCCCCAAAACCCCCCCAAAAAAA